CCCCCCTTTGGGACCCTGAAGGCTGGTAAGGATCATTCGGATTGACTTGAATTTGTCGACTGAGGGAGAACAGTTCTTCCGGGACACACAACAACATTAAAGCAGCTGAACAATACGACACCTATTCAGTATATTCAAGGGTTGTTGGCCCCGGTTGGTTTGGTCTTATCGTTAAGGTTTACTTCTTGGCGTGGAAATCCCCGTTCAGAACTCCAAACATGACCGCAGCGCTTGGGCACTTAACTTCTAGCGGTTTGCCGTTTGAGGTTTCCGCTGGAAACTGTAGTGCTAAATATCACCTATTTTATTATTTTAACTGGGCCTGGTTTTTCGGTGCTGAAATGAGATCAATTTTTTAGGCTTAGAATTATCAGTTCCTTTTTTGGAAAAAACATTTCATCTTAGTTACCGTATGATCGAAGAACCTCGACTAGTTACTATGACAACGTTATATTCACAAGACGCGTGCCGGAGTAACTGCTTTGCATGTGCGACAAAGAATCAGCCAAGAGGCAATGTATGTAGGTTAATGAAATTGTGTTCTAAGTGCATACCAGTCTAGAGCACCCGAGGGGCTTAATAAAAGATCGTCTCTGCTTGTTTTTCTGTCCGAACCGAACGCAACAACACAACCATAAGAGCAAGTACGAGAAAAGGAAAGATATCCTTTCCTGCGTTTCTGCTTGTCAGTTTCCCTTTCCACCCTTCCAAGTGCTGGGTTTCATTTCAATTTTCTGAGGTTACGCGTGCGCTCATGCTTCACTTATGCTCTCGCATACATATAAGGTCAATTAGGAAAGATATCCTAGATTATGAACGTGCCAACAAAATAGACTGAGCAAACACTGAATGGATCATGAGAAAAACAGAGAAAGATCAAACAGACGCCTGCGCGACGTGAATATATGACCTTTTACTCTCGCACGATCAGCTATTCCATGGTGATGTGACAAATTGATCTAGGTGAACAAAAATTAATACAAAGAGGAGCCTTGCTCTGGTTGTGATCAGTGTGAATGGACGAGAATTTAGGGAACGTTTTGGCGTCTGCCAAATTGGACTTCGTGGACTTGATGATGGATGATCCGACATAAAATATAATGCTAGGCCTCTTTTCAATGCAGCTCTTCCTTGCACTTGTTACAGTTTACCCTTTTAATGTATTACTCAATCTGCACAGAAATTCCAGTTTCTTTTTCATTGTCTGACTTTACTGACAGAATTTAGTTTTCTTCCGTAAGGTTTTCACAGTGTTTCAGGTAAAGATCGAGTATTATAACACTCAATGCCAAACTCTTAAATTCCTCATGAGAACGCAAAAGACAACCGATGAATAAATAATTGTCATCGGTGCTAAAAGTGAGACCATTATTGCATACCTTTGAGAAAACATTATCTAGGCGTAGACGTGTTACAATTACATCATCGTTACGTAATGACCTTACGAAACTGTCCTCCTATACAAAGTTTCGTTATTTCCGAACGTCTGCAGCGATCGCTAGATAAACGAAACACAAATTTGGCACGTAGAAAGTTTTCCCCACGTCACAACTATCAGTCTGACCTTTTCTAAGGGCTCGTTTCCCCTCGATACTTACACCCACGCTGCTAGAATAACTTACTGTCAGCAACGTGGAACTGGTTCAACATGGTTCACAATTCGGTAAAATCGCTCAGCTTTTGCTGCAAACCTTTTCCCTCCTTATGCCTCGTTGATCGCCCCTGTACGTGTAATCTGCGAGGCAAACGTTCATTGCCATTTTGGAGGTCTAACTAACCGAGACATCCCTGTAAACGAAAAGCCCAGTCGACGCAGATCCGATTTCGCCGGGTACCGTGTAAACTTAATCTTTTCATCAGTGTTAACTTGATAATACCTTGGACTTAGATCAATTGTTTCCGGCTGGAAACGTTTAGCACGCTTCCTG